CCTGAAACCAAACGCCCTCTCCCTGTCTCCATTAACCTGACCTCGGATTTCCTCATCGCTTGTGAATCAAACATATGGTGCTGATTACAAGAGAAATCCAGGCAGCAAAGGCCAAGTCTTACTGTTAGGAAAGAAAAGTGCTGAATCTTTACAAAAAGTAAATAACTGGAACCGTTAGCTCTTTTGAAAACCCGAAGAGCTTTTTTTTTCCCCCTGAACTTGTGAGGAATCATTTTTCTTTGCCCACAGGTTAGGTTAGAAAAAAGTCAGGTTCGAAAGAGGGAATATTCACCTGGACTCCGCTGCAAGAATCATTTGCTTGTGACAATTTCTAACTGATAGAGAGATCAGTGCTGCCTGATGTGGCCTCTAAGGTGTACAAACCCTAATCATACAACAACGATTTATATTTACACAGCGCCGTTCACGTCGGGAGGACGTCCCAAGGCGCTGGACAGTCAAGGATTTGGACCCGAACTGGTGAAAAATCAGAAAAGTCTCCTGTTCCTGAGTGTTGCCAGGAAACCTTTGCTGGAAGCTGTCACACGTGTGGAGGTTGGTTGAAAACTGAATGTAACTCGGTTGGTGTGACGCTCAGTTCGAACATCCTGATAATGCAGCACTTTGTCTAAAGGATCACTGTCCTCAACAGTTATTGGGGAAAAAAAATCTATTGCTAGTTTAGAAACAAAAAGAATTTCAACTAACTATAAATGGCCAGGATAATAATTGTCATATTTTACTACAGGATTCAAACCAATCCTCAAAGATATCAATATTATATAAATATCACTATTGTTATTGACTATTACAAGTATCATTGATTCTAGTCCCACAGGAGATAATAAAAACGAGTGTCAGTGAAACCCAAGTTGAACAAAGTACAATATACTAACGCAGCTTATTACAATGTGGTCTTGAGAAAAAAACTAATTGATTAAGTGCCACTTGATAACGGCGCAGAACTGTTAATAAAATCCTCGAAGGGTTAACCCTGTGAGGAATAAAGCCATTTAACAACCACTCGCTTGTTTCCATCACAAAGCTCCTGAGCAAGAACGTTCAGTGTCTCTTAATGATAAAAAAAATTCTGGTTGTACTTTGGGGTCGTTTCCTTACTCCACACGTCTCTGTTTGCTTAGTAAGAACCCGATTGTTAATCTGCATATGTGTTGGTAATTTTCTTTCTTGTGGACCCAAACGTACTGTGGGTTAAATGCACAAGGCTTTCCTGACAATGTGAGGCGTCTGTCACAGCAATGTGCAAACTAATGAAGCCATAGGCAGCGACTCATCTGCCACCTGGAAAGTGTTTCTGTTTAATCTGAAACATGAAGATCAATTTTCACCACTTTTCGAACTGTTTTCGATTCAGTCTTGAAAAGAGTTGAGGAAACTGGGGATATGAAATGCAGGTTTCTGATACAATTATAGCTCACTATAACTAATACTATTATTATTATTATTATTACTTGACTGAGTCTGGTTCTGTGTGGAAGATTGTCGCTGATCTACTCTGAGATTAAATGAGCTGCAAAAAAAAATACCTTTACGTTTGGAAAGGCTTTTTTTAAAAAATATAAATGAAACAAAAGTTGTCTGAAGCATTTGCAGTTTGGTTTCAGTAGGTTTTATAGAAGCGACCCTAACTTTTTAAGGGATAGGGATGGGATAGGGATGGCTGCAGAATCCTAGTTTGCAAGTTTTCTACAGACTATAACTCCTGTTAACTGTTTCCTTTACTTCTTACTCTTGCGTATTGAAAAGCCTTTGATATGAGGCTGATTTCTGATGGTGGGTGAATTGTTTAAAGGCTGCTTCTGCCTGTTTATTGACTAATAATGTTTTCAACCAGCACTTACCCTGTGCCCACTTACTCTGTAGTAATTCACAAATGGAAGGTAGATAGCAATGCAAAGCCCCTGGTCACACAGCCTGTTAATACTCAATGTGTCTGTAAATATCCTCTATCATATAGTCTTTATTACCAGGCAGGATTAAATCAATACAAAACACAAGTACCACATTAATAGAAAATTTAAATAACTATATACAATTTACGTTATGGTACTTTTACAGGAATGTTATGTTTTTCATATTAAATAAGTCTATAATCATTGGAGTTCCCAGTATTCTTCCTGCATATATATCTTTATATAATTGTGCAGTGAATCCACACTTGTAAATCAGATAATGTGCTATTGTATTTTTCAATAAATTGCTTTACAATGGTCATTTAGGATTATTTGAACGATTTAGAGATGGAATATTCCGATGGGGCAGAAATAAAGACCTTTAATTACAAAAAGAAATGAATGTGGGCTTGATGGGGGAGGCGGTTTGACTTAATATATAGCTTTAAACGGAGCAGATTGTACAGATAAAATTGTTACCAACCAGTTAGCATCTTAATAAGATTTCGCCAATCTAATAAAGCTGCTCTGTGTTGAATAATTTGTCACTGCGTTACAGTCTTTCAGACCAGAGATTCGCACATGGTCCTTTTCTTTTTGATCTAATCAAACATAATTTCATATTTAGTCTTGGAGAATGGCTGGAAACCTGTCGTGACAAATGACTCGTTTCAGCTGAAAAACGAAACCAAATCAACAATATCACTGTGATTACAGACTAATAAGGTACACTGTGCTTTGAAACTTTAGCAAGAATACTTAAATGCCACACAGGGTCGTCTTCCCCTCCAAATGTTTATTTAAACATAGAGGCTTGGTGTAGCACCCTCAATTAGCATATTTTTTTCCCCTTGTATTTCAGAGTCAGAAAACCGTGAAATTCTCAATGAAATTTACTGGCTGGTCACACGTGTGTGTGTGTGTGTGTGTGTGTGTGTCTTTAGAGAGGAGTTAAACCCTGGCTGCCTTGCTCTCAGTGGGGAAGCCTTGGGGTCTCACGCCTCTGGCAAAACATATGTTACTTTCAAACTGATTAATATGAGTTTATTTTGGAGCAATAATTATCAAATGTCTATTAATCACCTCTGTGCACATGAACACCACTGAATAAAGATCACCTCATTGTGAGACACACACACATACACTCACACAGAGAAAAAACAAAGGAACAGGTGAACTCTGATAGAATTTTGTCACATCTCACGTGTGCAATTGTGATAAAAACAGGCAGCACTCAGAAGTTTTCAATAGATTCAATAATAATATTAATAATCCTTGCATTGGATCACGTCGTTGAGACGTCTCAAAGCGCTTCACGTAACATATTTTAAGATGGATTGACTGTATTTTGTGGGTGAGATGCGATAGCCAACACACACAGCAGTGTCCCACAAATAGCCATGGATTGAGCAATCAATTTTTTTTTTGAAGAGATATTACTCCCGGAAAGCGATCCGCCAACTGACTAACAACTAAATTGGTTCTTACTTCTAGGTAAACAAAGGCGTGTGGAGTAAGGAAACTTGTCTAAGGTTTCAAAGACAGACAACGCAAGTAGTGTATGTGAAACTGAGCGCGTATCATTGTTAAATTAATTTTGAGACCGTAAAATTCCCCTTCCCTAACGGTGTTGTTAATTCGACAACAGAGCGCAGCCCTGTGCTACAGTAGTGACTGTTTTTGCGACAAGGTGTACTCAACTCAAAATCTGCCAGAACAAAAAACCCTGCTCAGTTTCTCCAGAGAAGCAATGAGTAAAATAGTGTAACGTTTTAGAACTGGGGCAGAAATTATAGATCAGTTCAGAGATAATTGTAAAAACTAAATTTCCTATTAGCTGAAACAAAGCATCTTTAATCCAGAAATTGTCTCTCGTCGTCTCAGTTTAAGGGGTGAGATCAATGTCAATGGTGTGTATTGGGGACAAAGGGCATAATCTTGCCCTGCGCCATCCATTATGTCACTGTTAAACCATTTAATCGAAAGGTGGAGGGAGATATACACATGTAAGTTGTTCATCCCGTCTCACAACACAACTGAACACAAAAGGAAGCAACGATACCGAGGATTTTTAGCACCATGGTCAGATTCAAGTCAACTGATCTGTGTAGAGGTAAGTAAATCACTAAGCCCAAAATGTAGTAGTGATGGCAGTAATCCTGACTATCCTGCGTTAACTTAAAAAAAAACTCAAAATAAAATCCGAAACACTCCTTAATAAAAACTTGACACCTTGAAATCATCCTGGGAGTAGCCTTGGAATAAAACCACTTATTATTAATGAAACTGACATGATCCATCACACACCCATATTACTCATCGGGAGTTAAGTTAGGTGGTTTCCATTACTTGTTTAATGTCATTAATCCCTTGCTGCCTAATATAAAAAGAGGAGGAGGCCATTCAGGCCCTCGAGCCTGTTCTGCCATTCTATAAGATCAGGTCTGATCTGTATCTCAAGTCCAATTACCTGCCCTTGCCCCGTATCCCTTAATACCCTGACCTAACAATATGTATCCACTCACTATGTAGAGAGACTATATTAAGGTTATTGCCGAAACCAAGGATAGCTACAAAGACAACTACATCACTCAATCGCTATCAGAAACATGCATTCAGATTTACTCAAGCAACAGATTAATGCATATAATGTTTGTCATGTGGTGCTGCGATCACACAAAGCAAATCGTTAAATCGGCAGCTAGAATTTGACCAGAAGCAGATGATACACAAGGTGTATCAGCGGGGTTATGGATGCAAATAAGCAGAAATAACCTGTGCCACATTTCAATCGTCTTAAATTCACAAAGCCCGCACCTCTCTCGAACAACTAATAGTGTGAAAAATCTGCTGTGAAGTGCCGAGACGACACCTTGTCAAAAAGAACACCGAACAAGCAGCTAATTTCTTAGATACAGTACTTGGGCTATCAACAGGTTCACGTAACTGTTGCCAGTTGGCAAGGGTGTCTGATCTGTGAAATATTTTTTTCTTTAAAAAAGATTCTCCTCCAAAATGCAATGTGTATATCTTTGCTGGTATGAACGCGAGTTTGTACAAGTGCGTTTTTAGTCACAAAAAAGGATCTGGTGTTGAGAGTGGGGTTTTATTGAGCTTGGATACACACGCTAATCAATTTCAGCAAGTAAAAAAAAACAAAAAAAAACTGTGTGCGAAGTGATTATATGTCAGCCACAGAAATCTGCTCCATATCATGAATGCCTTCTTTATCAATGATCCGGACAGTGAATGAGGGGAGATTCAAGATGAACCGTTTCTGGATCTGGAAGTACAAAACATGGCACTTGTTTACCAATGAATCCAAATACGTTGGGACCTCGTTATACAGTGTTAACGGGGTGGGGGGGGGGGAGCATAACATCCTATACAATGAAGCCGCGATAGTGACCCAGGAAGTGAGCCGGGCAGCCCAGTGATAAACAAAGGCTCGTCAGGTTCCTGAAGTCCCACTTCTGATGTCACCTTCTGTGTGCTCCGCCTAATACAGTGCTAATACTGTAGCGCATTCCAACTGGGGTGCAGCGTAACCCCGAAAACGACTTGCAGTCAACAATTAAGGTATTTTAAACATTAAAATATGAATCCGCAAGCAAGACAGCAAGACTACTGACCTTAGCTGTGCCTCAAAAGGGAAATAGCACTCTAACAGGAAGCAAGGCGCTATTCTTCCACCCTCCCGCCCCCACCAACGGTTAAGAGCAGCTCTCCCAAACTTGTGCTATACCCCCAGAGAGGTAGAATTTTGGGTCAGGTGAAGGCCACATACGAATAGCGCCGGAACCAAAAGAGTAAGAGATCTGCAACCTTTTTGTTTTTGTTTTCGAGGGAAGCTGATCTGGAGTAGACAAATTCCATAACTCCACGGCAGCCAAGCACTGCTGTGTTTAACAAAAAACAAAATGCGCTGCCCGAACTGCTTTGCTTCTAAACACCCCTCCTGCTGGCTGCTCCAGGAGAAACATTAACAAGGAACAGTTTAATGACTTTCCTTTTCCTCAGCAGTTACTGTCACGGGTGAAAATAAGTCAGCACAAAGCAGGAGGTTTTTAAATCCCCCAGAAAATGAACGCTGCCCGCCCTTTTTGTACAAATCCACTTTCTTGCAACGACTCTGTTCAGCCCGGGTTTGAGGCTCACCTCTTTCAAGCACTTCTTCAAGAGCTCCAAGGATTCTTCGCGTGTGAGATCTGCAAACACACATTGTTTCAATCTTTGAAAAATTTTCTCAAATAAAAACAAATTTTTTCAAAATTAAATAAAGTCCAGACTCGAAAACAGAAGTCATCTGACTCGCAGCTGAACGCAGTCCATATGTAAAGCAGTTTTTTTTAAAAAAAACACACACACACAAGAGTAAGAGCACTCAAACCGCAAGCTGGAACAAATCAATTAGTTTCTGGAAATCGAAGCGCATCAGAATCCACCCCTTTTTCCTGGTTCAAACTCAGGAAAAGGACAGGCACCTCTTAGATTCAATTTATTACAAGTGGTGTGAAAATGAGCTCCATCTGCAGATGCCGGCTGCAGTTAGTGCCCTTCTTTCACTAGCCTCCTGCTGAGCATTAGATTCACCAATGAAAGCGACACGTGCTTTTTACTTCTAAGAGCGCAGACCTGGTTCTCTTCCCTCAGCCATTAGGATCCGGGGACACAGTCAATTCCAATGAAATCAGGGAAACCAATGAGTCTATTCAGAGCACGCTTTGAATAACAAACTCAGGTTTTTTTTAAAACTCTTCAAAGACTGCAGTAGTATTTTTCAATTATCTAACAAAAATAAATTGCCTGCGACTCAAAACAGTGTAATATGAAAACTCTGGTGCATTTCCAGAGAATCCCTAGTGCTCAAACTAGAATTTTCTGTACATTTTCGTGCTACGAATGTTTGTTTTAAAAAAATATAGAGTAAGAAAACTGTACGTGCGACCCCTGTTATACCTCCTGTGAATAAAATGCGGGCTTGCTTATAGCATGGTGACGTGCTAACCAGAAGTATGATACCTCCTGTATCCTGTCCTGAAATGGCACTTTTCGTATTAACAAATGGCTCCAGTTTCTACCTACATTATTTCCAGTTGATCACACCGCTTGATGTCACTACATAAGGGAAATAACAACAGCGGTAAGTGTGTCAGTGTTGATCTAACAGCTCTGAGGGTTGGCAGTGTTTTTTGCAACTTGCTTCTTAACTGGCTGCACTATCCCTGGATTCTCAAAACTGAAAGCAAGTCAGCCGGTTAAGGTAGAGGAATTCAGAATGAAGCGATTATGTCTCATGAACATTCTAGGTTGGCAACGTGTCACTGAATGCCAACATTGGCAAAGTGTTTGGGAATTTATGAAATATTTAAAAGGTTTTAAGACAAAACATAATTTCCGGAGAATTTGTACGTTATGTCACAGTCAAGAGGTTCCTGGGATAAAAGGTTTGGGTGCACACAATACAGTCCATAAAAGGCACATTCAACCTCCCTCTCCGCTTAATTCTGGCAGTAATGCTTTACCAATTTGTCCCCCCCAAAAAAGTTTTAAATGCAATTTCCTGTTAGGCAACTTTACTTAAATGGCATTTAAATTAACTTCCAAGGGAAACTATTCACTTAATACAACAAAAAAAAACCACTTACTAAAAATAATTCAGCCAAAGAATCTGTTTCAGTCTGTAATGCAATACCAATTTGAATTTTGTTCTTAAAATTGTTTGGTCTATAGATACACCATTTTGCTAGCTGTATGCAGCTGGCTTTAGTAAACGCACACTGCCTTCTGCAAAGGAAACAGTGGCCTTCTCACACACAAACAGTCAAAGTCCTATTGATTTGCAGTTTGCTTCTTTGGACAGTCCTCCCAGTTAATTTTTATCAATTTAACGGCTTCCCTAAAAAAACATAACAAATTTCGTCAAGTCAGGTCATTTGACTGATCCTCAAGTTTAAAAAGAACACACAATAGTGAATAGAGCCAGTATTTTCAGGGTCTATCTGAGAACTGTAGGCACACTGGTGGTCAATGAAGAACTTTGCAACGCAAGATTAATTAGGAAAGAGACGGATGTTACAGATGGAAACGTGGCTGCAAATTTTGTGCCATCAAGATTGCACAATGAGGTTAATTTTGATGTGTGTGGATTTTTTTTCCGGGGGGGTGGGGGAATTAATTTAGATCGTGGAAGAGTATGGAGGAAGGGTACTGTACTTACATTTAACGTTACATTGAAGTAAAATAAAACTTCAAAATTCAAAAAGGGAGGGAAATGAAATAACGGTGGTTGGGGGGAGGAGTGGGGGGGGGGAAAATCGGAAGAAAAAATGAAAAACAGAGATGTGGGCAGCACAGCTAAAGAGTGGGGATGAAGAGTGGCAGCCAATAGTTACTTGTAGAGAGGGTTATGGAGCCTGGAACAGGTGGAGTCCCACCATAGTTAGTTTCTCTTTTGGAGGCAAATTTAAATGTTTGGTGGAATAAAGAGAGACAAACCTCAGGTAGTTCAGCACTCTGCTGTAACCCTACCCATAACCTACCTGGCTTATAATGTTGGTCTAGGATACTGAGCGTGAGAAAGGCGCCATATCCATGAGCGGCAAAGGGAGCTTTGGCCAGAGCTGCTAAGTAGTCCATGTAGTATAACGCAGGCCCATCATGCTCATCGTAACCAGCTAAAATCATGTTCACATGGTAGGGTGTCTGTAAAACACAAGGTGCGGCATTTATGAGAAGAGTAATCACCAGCAGTCAGAACAAGCTCACAGCTTTAATGAGCAGCACTTTGTTGATAATCATCAATATAAGCCCCGATTTCTAAATCAACACTTGTTTGACAATAATTCTCAACTTCACATCATTCTTAAAATAACCGTTGGGCGTTGATTATTGAAATTAGGCCAGTTTTGATTTGCTGGATATTAGCAAAAATGGTATCTGTGCATCCAGAAAACAGGCTGGGAAAATGCTGCAAAATGTAAGAAATCACCAGGTTAAAATGTGCACACAACTTTCTACATCCCCTACCAAAAGCTCAGTTGTTAAGGTAAATGCTAAGTGCTAAAAAAGTCAGACAGAATCATAAAGTCTTGGGTTCAATCCCTTGTCTGTGTTGAATTTAGCCGCGGTGATCGAAGGGGCTTACAATTATTCTCAAATGACCCTGATGGTGGGGGGAAATTAGCCAAGTTTACTGCTCCCAGTTACTATCCAGTGTCGCTTGCTGGAAAGTGCACCTACCTATTTGTAGGTCAGATGAGGACAAGATAAAGCTTAGATATGACATCTTCTCTCCCGCCAATCGTTGCACATAGCTTACTAACGCTCGCCCATATAAAAATGATGACTAGGGCAAGTTACAGTATTATAGGACTTCTTTATTATTTCCCCCTGTGGAAAGGCAACCCAGCAAGGCAGGAAAGGGAGAAATCCGGAGTTGTGGAAAATAAATAAAAAAGAAAATAGTCACAAATAACTTTGCAACAAAATGCACGTTGTACTGCTGACAGATTTTAAAACTCATTGGATTACAGATACATTAGCTTTATAGGACAGGGTAATTTTTTAACAAGTTCAGGTTAATTACAGTATACATAGCTTTGAATAAAACTTCAAAACCGAAGGCTCCCAATGCAATAACACTGTTTTTCATTATCAATTCTCGTCGACAAATGCAGGGGGTTTGTTATCCATGATTAAAGAAAACGAAACACCAATAGTTATTAAAACTTCGGAAGCAAACTGTGTGAAATTACCCAGATGCTCCAGTGAAACGGAATTTAATAAAGAAATTTAAAAAAACAAACGTGAACGGAGGGAGGCAGTTTACTGATGAGTTTCTCAGCGACATCTGGTGAAACAAACTCACAGTTCGGGCAGAGAGTGAGGAAGTATCCCACCGAGCTGGGGAGGGGGAGCGTTAATCTCATATTGGACCCCTTCCAACCCCCAGCAGCCATAATTAAATCTTTAGAAACTTGCACCGGCAGACGGCACGACTTGAGCAAAATAAAATACCGACAAGTAAGAGTTTTACAGACCGACTTCCTGCCCGTCTGACCAATCACGGCAGTGCAAGCGTTCAAGGTTACAAAAGATATCCATAAACAACGCTCACCTATTAATCTAGTAACCTACCTAGCACGCAGCGAAGCCCTTGAAGGGGTTTTAATTGGTACGAAGCCTAATACAGTAAGGCTTTACTTTGGAAAGGGCGGGGGTAAAACAAAGAAAGTAAATACAACAACATCAAAAGGTGCAAGTTTAGGGCCAGAGGTAAAAATTAAAAATTTACAACATAACTTTTAAAAGGTGTAATTTTACTTTCTGAACTAAAGTGGACTGACAAAAAGCGCGACGTACTGGCCCTACTTCTACTACTGAGATGCCAAGCATGAATGAGTAGCTACTTTCCTTCTGGTTTATACTGTGAATATAAAGTAATCATAATGATCCTTGCGTTTGTTAAAGTAGCTTTCAGGTTGGAAGGATGTCTCAACAAGTGTTTTATAGGATGTACTGGAATAGATACTGACTACATGTTTTGTTGGCAAATGATCATCGTGTGCATTTTGTAACTAGTTTAACGGTCTGTCAATTCTGACATGAGCTCTTCATTTATCTTATTCTTCCAAAGATCCAGATCTATCTTCTTCCCATTATGGTATTAGGCAATTCTTAAGTGAGTTGAGTGTCCAGGCCTCTACCAGGTTTCCTGGTAACCTGCTCCAGCTGTTACTTCTGATCTTTCAGCCAAAACACAGTTCATGATTCTTCTTGATTGCCAAGACAAGATGGTTCAATCACAGGCATCTCTAAGGAAGCAGCTATTACCATTCCTTGGCCGAGCAATATGGAGGAAGTAAGCCTGATCAAGCTCAGAAGGTACCCGCCCCTCCCTTAATTCTAAAAATAGCTCTACAATTCTTTCCTCTGGCAAAAAAAAGACACACAATTGGCACGACTTAAACCAGAATTGATGGCCGCGTATACATGAGGGAACTTATGCAAAGTTCTTAGCAAGAACAACAACTTGCACTTATATAACAATCTTCTTGTAGGATAACATGTCAGAGCGCTTCTTGATGTCGAAGAGGAGATGACAATATGCATGGTCAAAGAGGTAGGTTTCGAGGCAGGACTTGAAGACAGATGAGGGAGAGGGTTGGTGTCTCAATCCCTCTACCTTGCTCCAGCCTTCTCTGTTCGTCTTCAGATCGCACCTGAAGACTTTCCTCTTTGACTGTGCCTGTGAAGGATGGTTACCTCTCATTTGCCCCCGGCTCGATGACAATCTATGCCATTGTTCAGTGCTCCGAGATGCTACCACGTGTGAAGGGAGCTCTATAAATGCAAGTTGTTGTTATGTACTAATCACATATTATAAAGTAGAAACGAAGCCTCCTCCAGGGAGATTTCAGAAAGCTCCACCTTCAGTAGAAAATAGCAGGTCCCTCTGGAAACAAATGCAACAATTTGGTGGAGTGTCTGCCTAAACAATTAACTTCAAGGCAGCAGTGCTTAAACCCTTATGAATGCACACAAGAGGCACAGGTGATGTCCCCTATCAGGGTTGTGGCAAACATGCGCAAGCTCCCAACAGTCTAATCTCTGTGGTATTGTTTTAAGAGATACAATATTCATAACCAATTTTAACCAACAGAGAGTCAGAAAGGATCTCATGGTGACTATTGGGAGCGTATGTATTATTTTGGGGGGTACCAACAAGCCAGTCACAGTCTAAATAGAAAGTAGAGCAAGCATGACATACTTGTGTATAAGGGAGAGTTCCAGGCAGAGACATGGTCTCGTAGAGAGTTGCACAGAAGCAATGACATGACATTTGGTCTTAAAGAGACTTCTCAGATCAATTCAGATTGTTAGAGTGCAACCATTATTGCCGGAACAACCTTAACCCTCCTGTAGATAACTTGGTGTAGAGGACTGACAATCCTGGCAACAACTGTATAATGTTATGAAGGGAGGGGACAGGCATTCTCCTTAAGTCCATTGGTCTACAAGGCTATGGACATAAGAGACAAAGAAGTAGCTCGGTCCTCAAGTAGAATGTTTGAACACCCCAGTAACCATCGTTGATAACCAAAATGGTGTCTGTCTGCTTCTTTGGAACAACTCCAACTCTGCTGACACTGGACTGTTGAATCTTTTATGTTTGCAGCTTTAAAAGGCTTTAAAAAAAACACACATCCTGGACGTTTATTACTAAGTTATTAATTTTGGGGGGAATCCTACGCTAACTACTGTAAGCACGTTGAATGAATACATACATAGAAGATAATCACACTGTCTCGTGTGGTGTGATAGCTCTTCCTGTTAAACATTCTTCCACCAGCTTTTAATTAAAACGGTTATATTTAATGATTCACTACTTGGAATGGATTACAGGCGGCTCATTATCCCGACATTTTACACTATTCTCTTGTAAATGAAAATCATTAATTTCTGCAGTGTTTTCTATGGGACAAAATGCAAGCTAATAAATGAGAATTTTATTACCATGCAACATTATTCAGTGAAAAAAATTAACCCTTAAAGGGTTACCTATTTTATTTTGCAAATGTATTGTACTACAGGGCTTTCAGTTAGATTTGGAACAGACAGTTGGGAATTTTAATTAGAAAATAAAGCTGGAAATGGAAGTAAATCCATTTATCAGCCTGTCTTCATTAAGCAAAATCCATCGGCAATGCTTTAAAGTTACATCCCTGAATCTCAGTATTTTTTCACAAATGTAAAGCTTTGTAATTGAGCAGACAAGCCGAGACTGCTGGTTGCTTTGAAAATACATCTGTTGTATTTCTTTTAAATATACTCTGCTTAAAATGTAACATAGCTTTAAATATATTCCAGGTTTCGTGTGCATTCTCCGAAGAGGTCCTGTAAATATTCAACATTCACTGTTCTTTGTTTAGCAAAAAAAAACAGAATTTCCTCAGATAAATTGCAATGTTCTCTTTAATTTACACCATGTACAGCAGGTTATACACACCACATGTGGTTTGGGAAGTGGAGATTTTCTCCCATTTCCACATGACATAAATATTAAGCTGCAGGGACTGCAACTACTTCACTACTTAAGTCTTCATTCCCTCCAACTCCTCTCTCCCCCCTCCGATTGCTGGTAGCGGTAATTAAGAAGTCAGGCACTCTAGCAGTGAAATTTTTTTTTAGCTGCACAACTGAATACAGACACATTTACATATTCAAATTACTGCCAGGTACTCAAAAGAAAGGAATGCTCTCTACGTCTGTACAGCTGTCCAGGGAGATAATATAACTGTAAGTATAAGCGCAAATACAGGTTTGTAGCACTCCGCCCGATATCACAATAGAACGAAGGTAGCGAAGGAAACAAGTTTAAACCCTAAGGGACTACAGGATGTTGAAAAAGGAGGATGAACAGGAAATAGTAAACATTTAATGACTACTGTACTTCTTTGAAGCTTTAATCTTTGGGAGGACACAAACATTTTATCCAACATATTGTGTGACCTCCAGATCTTAGGCCAAGGCAAAGGTTCAAGGAGCTGGAAATGTAAGTATCCTCAGTGGGGGGGGGTAGCAGAGAGGATAAATGAGGATGCAGTAAACGGGATCTGCTTGGAGCTGAGCTGGCTCCTGTACAGTGACCAAGGTAAATTTAAAATAAAATCCATCTTTTTTTTTCGCGATGACTCAACAACAAGATTGTTGGGAGGATGTCCCAAGCCGCTGTACAGTTGGGTCAGGACCCGAGCAAGGGGCAAATGGTCAGGGTGAGGGGAGGGAAGGGAGGGAGCGAGGAGGGGGCAAATGGTGAGGGGAGGGAAGGGAGGGAGCGAGGAGGGGGTAGAGAGCTGAAGGCCGGTCAAAGAGAAAGGTCTTGAGACCGGCCTTGAAGGAGGAAAGGGAGGAAGCAGTGAAGGCACCGGGGGATAGAGTTCCAGAGCCTCGGGGCTGAGAGGCTGAAGGCCCGGCCACGGATGGTAGGGCGGTTGGGGCGGGGGATGTGGAGCAGACCGGAGCCAGAGGAACGGAGGGTACGGGCAGGTAAGCAGGGGGATAGTAGGTCGGAGAGGTAGGAGGGAGCGAGGCAGTGAATGGCCTTGTAGGTGAGGATGAGGATCTTGAATTCTGAACGGATTTTTGCATGGGTTTGAGACTGTCTTGTGAATTTAACACTTAATCCCACTTTGGAGGATTTTCAAGATGGTAAAACAATTACCTCAGGATGTTTAAGAGACGCCTCACTTGATACAAAAGAGAGTGTTAATGTGCCTTTGCCATTCATAATAGCCTCTATGAATATTGAAAAAAAGTTGGTTTAAATAACATTTATAGACACTGGATAAATCAAATGAATGACTGACATAATAACTACTTCTGTAAGTGTGCTAAGTGCCTTTTGTGAAATATTTATCAGGTCATCATTCATGGTCCTTTATATCATTCCATTCAGCTACAATACATATGCAGTATCTTGATGAATAATGAAAACAAACTGAAGGCCACTTTTTCACAGAAACATGAAATTACAAAGGGTGGTATTTTACAGGTGTTAACTAATGCTGGTTATATTGAACTTTTCACACCAAATATAAAGCATGTTTCAACCAACCGATGCTTTTTGGGGGCAAATGGCACATTTAAAGCATGTAACCAACCTCTTGAGATAGGTCTTAATTCCTCTATTCTTTTCACACCATTGCACCTCCATTCTCTTCTTAAAAAAAATCCAGATTCAAAACCATGGGTTACGGAATTTGACCGGTCTTCCTTTGGCAAGATGTAGGGGAAAAATCTAATTAACAGTGCCACCGTTTGATCTTCTATAAAATCATTCTAACACATTGCTTAAAGGAGTCATCAGATATTAAATATTCTGGGTAGGTACAAAAGTCTTTGAATCCAGCTTGCTGTCTTACTTCCTCTAATATCCTTTTAGGTAGGCTCAATCTTAGGGGCCGCAATGCTATCTATAACTGTACTTGCATCTCTAACTGAAATGCAGAGATGAGCATCACCATTTGTCCAGATAACAGCAACACCTGTTACATGGCTACATGGCTGGAAACTCTTGAGACAAGCTCCTTGTTGACGGGAACATTTTTAAATGAAAATGCACTCACCGGTTGCAGGCAGTTCATTAAAAAGCCAAGTTGAGAAATGAGTGTACATACATAAGTGTAATGGCCACATGCAACAACTCCTGATTACATCCACTGCTCTGTGAGCTCAGCCCACACACACCCACATGCACACAAACCTGTGGCCAATAGCCTGACTCAAACAGACCAAGGTTAATTTGGAGCTCTTGAATTACCTATTCCATTTGAATGTAGGTTCTGTACAACTTTATGGAAAACCTATAAATTATTAACTGCATTAATGAGACAGCAACACATGATTGCTCAGGTCTAAAATTCAAGAAATATTTTGGTTCCGTTTGTACAGAACAACAACAACTCACATTTACATAATGCTCCTCATGTAGAGTAGCATCCTCGATTGCTTTGTCAGCTACGTCGGCCAGATTAATTCCAATGTACATTGTACAATGTTCATTAATTACAATGTACAATGTTCAATGGAGAAGTGCATATTAAGTGATGCTTAATCACTTAATACGCCGCCAAGTTCTGTCACTGTTAAGCTCTCTAAGACGCTACCTTGCATGGAGGGTGCTATATAAGTTCAAGTTGTTGTTGTGATGCAACAGCTTGGTATAAGACTCAAATTATACCACTGTTGCCTCCTTTTAAATTCTATTTAAAATGGTTCAATACCACCAACAATGCCCGGATTCAACTAGCAAGGAAAAGGAGACTTCAGATCCAGTTTGATTTCCAGAAATTAGCAGATTTGGCAAATCTCTTATTGGTGTCACCAATGCAACATAACGAAACAGTGACATGTGTTTTTAGTCTCTAGTCTATTAGCTGGAGATTGACATATGTGTCGGCTGAGAGATATAATCCGAACGAGCTGGGACTTGTTTAGCACAATGTCATCACGTTACTGTTCGCGACGCTGAATACACGTTTAGCTAGGAATAGGATGCTGCTCAGACACATTAATAAAAATGAAATATTTCACAAACTGTTACAACAATGATTCAAATATTCTTTTACAAAAAAAGTTAAGGAATGCTGATTCCCCCCCCCCCTAATTTCTTATTCTCCGAGAATTGGCAGAAAATATTAAGGACAAAAACACTCTATATTATATATATATGTGTGTATGTATATATATGTGTATGTATATATATATACAATAAAAAAGGAGAAATTCCACCTAATCTATTCAGGTCCACTTAAGAACATCCATAACATGGCAAATTCTCAAATGCAGCCTTCATTATGATGCTGGGTTTTCCGGAAGTTCTTTTAAGAACTATAGAAACACCCATTTCAAAATTAGGACAATTTTGGATGCTCTAAAATACATTGAGCAAATTGATCCAAGTGAAATTCCCTCCCCCTAAATAAACGTTCATATAACTTATTAAAAAAAACTTGGCAGTTGAGGATTGAACAGCATGAAAACATGAATTGTGTCCTATAAAATAATAGTTTTAGTCACAAGTACTGTGTGAAAAACATGGCTAAAATTTTTTTGAAATGTTAAGACCTTGTTAAACAGCATAAATTATATGATGGGGGGGGTCAAGTTAGTAATGGCAGCTGGCTCTATTGGCTGGAAGCCAGGGCAGGCAGCAACTGCAGCTCTGGGAAATAAGTGGCGCTCCATCCTTGAGCTCACTCTAAACACATTCTTCCATCGAGATCACAGCTCCAATCCACCGGGGAGCATTAAACAGCTGGCTAACTAAAAAACGTTAACAGTGTCAAGGGAGGGCAAGGTTCAGTGCCAATACAACATCATCAATTATGGATAATTTAATTGGGATGTTTTGCCCACCCTTCTGTGCAGAGTGCAACGGGGAGGGGGGGCGTGGCTGATGAGACTAGCTGTTAGGTGTCTGACACCGGTCGTATGATTAGGAACATATGGCACAGGTGAATGCTGCACTGCGCTCCCTCACCAAGGCAGAAAATTGTGACTTGTTACAAGTGATTAAAATAATATCAGTAACAGGGTAATTGAAGACGTTTATGGTTAGTGTAGATCACCGGGTACAGTTAGCCTCCCTGTGGTTGTGCTGCGAGTAGCTTGCCCAAGCCTGGACTTGCCCGACGGGCTGCCTGTTTCAGACGGACCACACAGCAGGGAGAGTGGAGTTTTTTCAGGAAGGTTAAAATATTTTGCTCCTCAGATGGTGAGACCTTGGGGAGCGCCAAACGCTGCAGTAAGGTAACTAATGCAGCGTCCTTGTAGCACAAAGACCTATTTCGCCTACAAAATACAATCAATTCACTTTACAGTATATTCTGTGAAGTGCTTTGAGAAGTCTAGAAGGCGTGAAAAGCGCTATATCAAATGCAAGGATTATTATTATTAGTAGTATTATGAATTTCAAAGTAAAGATTTCATTCAGTTTCCAAACCTGCAAATGTTAAAGCTTTGGCACAATAGTTTTATTTCTATTTCATTAGCCAAATTAAAATGCTTTGAGATCAAAATAGTAACTTAACTCGGTAACTGTACCTTTTATACTTTGCCCAAGTATTACACCAATAGCCTTGGGACTGAAGAAAACACACGAATGTCAGCACTGAACCCACAGAGATTTTTTTATGATCAGCTATGATCTCGATGAGTACACTGTGTTTGGCTTTTGGAAAGGAAATAATTGATCTTGGAATAAAAATAGCTATTAGATCAATCTGGTTTCTCTTTTAGAGGCTTTTAAACCAACATGACAATAGCCCTGTGTCAGTCATGCATGAGTGAGCAGGCTACTTTACTAGTTTTGGATAAGTTCAAAATAGATAAGGTTCAGAAATTTGTTTTACCAGGCGATATCACTCCTTCCTTCCTCCTCAATCTTCAGTTGGAAAAGTGGGATGATCCAACTTGACAGCATCTCCAGGCACATCAGCAGTACACCTTGGTCAATTCCCAAGGCATTGTGCTGGAGTGGGACTCTCTTCATGTCTATATTCCCTCACCTCACTGACAAACCAGCTGACATCAAAAGTCAGCCCCCCTCTGGGGAAGCAACAGTGAATCCACATTGTGAATGTTTGAACTCTAAAGTTTTGTAGTTGGGGGCACACATCAAATTTCTGTCTCTCTCTCTCTGTGATGAATTTCTTAATATTATTTGTCTTGTGATCTTTCAGGGGGTAGTTTTCTGAATTTCTCTGAGTCTATATTTAAGTGTCAAAGTTGGAAAATCCTGAATGGGATACTAACTACCACAGCAAGAGTAGATTTACTTTGAGCCCAGCTCAATTGTCTACATACCCAACTTCCTGCGCTAGAAAATAACCAACTTCCAAGTCTCTGCACTTTCTGCATGTTGAATAGAATTGCAAGGAAAAGGAGGTTAGAAACATTGTCAACTCTAATTCAATGTCCGAACGCACTTTGCTATGTTGCCCTGATGTAAATTGTATTGTAACGATACAGTACCGGGTGCTTCAAGAAAGGTATAAAAAACAAAAAGTCGACGCCTATCTATGCCTTACCCGACTCCGAAGATATTCTGCCAGATTTTTGCGAGTGAAGTTGGCAGCTGCTGCAGGACTCAGCTCATAACCTGTGAAGACGAAACAAAGATGAATTGCTTCTGAGTTGCTTCCACTGTCACTAGTTCATCTGCAAATGGGATTAAAAGAAACACAAACTACACTTCCAATGTCTGAGATTTTTATTTGCAATGTAATTATGTTTGGAACAGTTTGAAAATTGAATGTGATCTAATAAGATTTTAACAAAGTGAGCAATATCTTCAAACATTATTTTATGCCTGTTAATTACAGTTAATGGTCAAAACTAAGCTCTATTGCAAATAGTATCTCACGGAAACTGAAATAGTTTGAAAATTAATGATTAGGTGAGTAAATTGTAAACTTCTCCCGACTTCTGACTGTAATCCTACTCATGGTTTTCCTTGGGACAACCCTCAAATTGAAGCATTCTCTAAGATCAAATAGTGGTGTATCTGTTAGTTTGTACCACGAGGGAATATGGAGCCTCATATTTGTGGTCAACGGCGGTAAATCATTTGACAAGCACAATACTGTAAGTCACGACTTCACAAAGCAGATTACTAAATACAGTAAAACACTTGTTTTAAAAAATGCTGTTCCATTGCCCAAGAATTCAGTTGTTTGCTTGAAAATTTCCAAAACTGAAAGAGAAAATCTTTAGAATAAGGTATTTTTTTGGTGGGGGGAGAATTCAGGCTGCATGAAATTCATGGAAAGGACACAATAACAACTGATAATCCCCTTAAAATGTGCATCTTATGTGAATGACGGTATTTCAGATTTTATTTCATCAATGAACTCTTGATGAGGCAAACTAGATTACATTAATTCTAAGAGACGAGATTTGTGATCAGGAATAAAACTACATGGAAAATGCCAACTTGGATCATCATAACAATGAACTTCAATCCCTTTTGGTGACACAATCTGTATTTGTTTCAACAAAACGTAACTTGGACAACATTAGCCTAGATTCCTCTTGACATTAAGATTGTGCTAGTTTCCTTTGGTTAGNTTTTTTTTTAAACACCTGTTGATGTTCGCTGAATGAAATGCATCAGTTTGCGTGTAATTCAATAGTGAAATTTAGATATAATAATCGTTGCATTTGATATAACTCCTTACCATGTCTTTGAGACGTTTCAAAGTGTTTCACAGAATATACTGTAAAGTGAATTGACTGTTTAAAATAGCTTCCTCTCCACCCACCCAGGATGAGTGAAATGGATTTGGACAGATATTGATTTAACTGTAACGGTTACAGAACAGCAGCATTGCTAACTCAAAGTACGTAGTAACAGGAATAAAGGGACAACAGTAGAATAGGCAAAAGGATCAATTGCAATTTCAGCTGTATGTAGGACAAACAGATAACTGCCTTTGTCTGATTTGGAACAACACATGTGTAACGTTCACTGTTTTGGGAAAAGAATCAATGTCAACCTCCTTTCGCTATGGAGCACTTCCCAGATGAGGAAGTGAATAGATCACATCCTAAAGGATTAGCCAATGCTGATCCCATAAAACAGAATGTGGAAAGAAAAAAATAAATAGGCAAAACAGTGGTCTATTATGGTGCAATGTAACAATATATTGTGCAATCGCTTTTCAGTTTCATATCCAGATTAATTTCATATCCACATTTTAAGGACACCTCATTGATCATCATTTCACCTGTCTTCAACTGCAAGAATTTGTACAGCAATAATTCCAAAGAATATTTCGTACCCTCTCTTAAGCCACTTGCTTAAGGAGGCTGCAGTTTCTTCAACCAGGATATCAACACAGGGACACAGCTGCCAACCTCAGTATAAACACCAGAAGGGACTTTTGACGAGCGAGAGATGACAAACCTGTTTAAATCTATACAGCAACGAGTTCACTTTCAATGAGTTAGTGTTGCCCAAAATGAATGAGTGAGGCTTGGCAAGCCTGCATGAGTTTACAAATCTTGCCAGCAAACTGCTGCTTGTGGCTAGAAAATAGACTAACAAAACCGACCTAAACATTAGCAAAGCTAACAATCCCCCATGGCAGCAAAGACTGTCACATAACATATAAATACATGTAAATGAGAAGAAATGACTGTGATGGTAACAGAATTTGATGGAATTAGTGTCAAAATTCCTTTATGATAATGCACAGTGGAACAAACTACAACACAATTAAATTATATCCGCTATGACAAAATGTGTCAGTCAGGACTGCAAACTTTTGATGGACTGGGAACATCAGTTTGCATATCAAGATGAACTCAAAGTAATAAAATATTACATCTAAGAATTGTAGAGTCAAGATGAATTATTTATTGTAGCTGAAATACAAGAAAGATGTATAATTAAGAGGCCCTATCATTATCTCTCAAATGTAATGAAAAAGAGCAATAAATCTCAGTATTTCTTCCCACTTTCATTTTGCAACAGTGCAAACACCCTCCCTCTCACCTACCTTCAGTACATAGCTGTGATCATGAACTCGAGAACTGTGTTGGCAACTGAAGGAAAGAATCCATATCAGGCCAGTCAATGACACAGCAACACTGGGTTGCTTGAAAATTGGCGCACTGTACTAGTAAGCCTCTCGGGAAACTAATTTGAATCACATTCTTTTACTGGGGTAAAGTGAATCTCAAATTGCTATGCAATAAATTCCAATCCTGTAATTTATCTGAATATTAGATTGTTTCAATATTCAGTACAAAGAATATTCAATTTCCAAACTAATTGGTTGGCACTGCGCTAATTTAATCCTTGTGTACAGAAGGGATTTTACGGTATGAATACAGTTTGAGTTTTAGTTAGACGAAACTCAATCTCCCAGTTGTCAGTCACTGTACTGTAATGAATAATTGAAGAAGAGTTATATTACGCATAACATTCCTCAACAGTGAGCAAGGTTTTCTATATATATTTCAAACTTTGAATTGAAGACTGACAGACCAGCAACATATAGTAGTATCAGATTATTTGTGTGGAGGAAAGGGAATTGGGGTAGAGAATAAGATCAGAGACAAATGGATTCAAAATTTACTGCATTATTAGATATTGTAAATCTCCATCATAATCATATCGGGAAGGTTCCTGACCTCTATAACTCTTTACATCCAAATCAATGATACTCTCTCTACTACAACACCTATCATACAATTAACACTGGAAAATGGATGCATTCACAAAGGTAATAGAACCAGGATAGTTCCTGTATTGGTATCAAATATTGCTGTATTTTCAACAAAATGATAACAAACTCAAACTACAATAAAATCCATTCTAATGGAAATCTGGATTATAGAAAATGCTTCACTTGGTAACCAGAGGAACAAATGTCTAATTTCAGCACCTTTTAAACAATATGTTACGTTGACTTTTATATATGAAGTACAATCAAATTCCACGTCGATTTAAATGCAGGAAGGAAACAGTCAGTTTCTGATAATTCCAAGATAATCACAACAAGCAAGAAGTACTGTCGCATCAATTCACTTCAAATTCCAAAAAAAGAAGAAATTCAGTAATTGCAGCAAGCCTTAATAATACTGATATATATGACAAATTGGACAAATTTGCTGCTTCCCCCGTTTGGCTGAAATGTTTTTTTTTAGAAAACATATTTACAAGGAATGTTATTCTGACAGGTAAAATTAAGTTAACACCTGCAGTATTTTATGTCAAAATTAAGTTAACAATATTTAACTTGTGATTTTAGGATTTCAGGAACCAGTGCTTTGAAAATCAAACAGCAGCATTAACAGGACCAAATGGAGTAGAATATGTTGATGACCTACCATTCCTCATTTTGTAGAGCTGTACATTTTTCTGAATGTACTCTGCAAACTGCACAGTGTCTCCAGCCTCTCCCACACACAGCAACAGGATCTTCTCGCTCAATTTAAACATTTTATCGTAATCTAAACAAAAGGAAATGGGGAGTTAAAAGCTACAATCCTAGATACAGAATGAGTTAAATAGCTTTGATAATAATGTATTTTTAAGCACCATTTTGTTCCTTTGACCCTCGAAGCTAATTCTTCATCAATACTTTCACTTTCAATTTGCTGAATAATGGTGTGAGCTGAGACTAGGCCTGACGGAGCACATTGAAAATGTAATGAACCAGCTGGATATTTTCCATTGGGACATTGATTTCGGACAAGAAAATTCTAAGATTCAGTCCTAATGTACCTATGCTGATTGAGGTGAATAATTTGCTTCACTCACTTATGTCCATTTTTTCTACCCAAATACTTTACAGATTGTGACAAACCCTACAGTAGCCAAGGTGCAACATTTTTATATATAGTTAGTGAAGTTATGACGTACAAATACACTTCAAATTCCAATGTACATTCATATCAATAGAATCCTGATTCAAGTGTAGTTTCTAAACCTATTCCAAGCCCCAGTTACCTATTTTCTCATATTTTAATCCATATTGGTACAAGATCTTCACCTTTTGTCATATTTTACTATACACAGGATCATAATCCCTACTTGCATTCACTTTTATGATTCAATGCAGTGAAACAGATGTAATGGAATTCCATAGAATATAATTGGTAGTTCAAATGCTGGCGATCTTGTGTTGATCAAAATCTTCACAGATTAGGTACATCAATACCACTTCTGTTGCTATATATTTAAACAGAAATACAGTTTAACTATAATAGCTTGCAACTTTGTTTGGACTAACTTATTAATTTCATGGCAAAGGAACTCTAGAGAACTTAACAACAACAACTTGCATTTATTTTGCACCCTTCACATGGGGTAGCATCTCGGAGTGCTTAACAGGACTCTTTGCTGTGCAGCAATTGAAATTTGAATCAAATTTAAAGTCTGGTGTCTTTTAAATTATGTCGGAATTATAGCCTGTAGGCAGTGTTTTGATCTATGTGTCGCCACATTTGATGGTATATAGGATGCAGCTTGCTGCCACAATATTAATGCAATTCAAGAGCTGTGAGAACTTCGTAGGAGGCAATTTGTAGTATATTAAAACTAAGGCATTATTTCCACTGCTCTCTCACTCACACTGTGCCGCAGCAGCGATGGTGCTGCACCTGTTGTATATAAATATGCATTGCACAGAATGCATTATAAAGCCTCTAAAGCCTACTTATTTCTGATGAGGATCACACTCCGCACACAAACCTACTAGGATACAGGGAAGCAGCCACTGAGGAGAATGATGATGGCGATAAGCTAATGGTGTTCTTTCTGTCAGTCACTTTATGTCATGTCAAGGTGATGCTGTGCCTGTGCACGAGATCAATATGATTGCTGATCTGTAGCTGCTGAAAAAAACACAACTACAAACATGTGGCATCTACTGGTGAATAGTAATAATAAGTAATAACAGTTATAATCCTTGCATTTGATTTCACCTCATCACGTCTTCAAGATGTCTCAAAGTGCTTCACAGAATACCCTGTTACGTGTAGTGACTGTGTATTTAGCACGCGCATATTCTCGTGATACTGTAGATAGTTTGGGCCATGACATGTGCAACGTGACTGCCAGGATGGCGGAAGGCGAAGTGGATAGAGTTTGGGTCTTCTTTGGTCTTGCAAACCCTTATGTTCGACTGAAAGGTCATCGACCTGAAACGCTAACCCACTTTCCTCTCTCCATAGATGCTGCCTGAATCTGCTGAGTGTTCCCACTGACTTCTTCTGTTTCTATTACTTGTGTTCTTTTGCTTGGGGTGTGTGTGCGTATGTCTGTGTGTGAGAGGGTTCTGTGTATGGGGGGAGGGGGGGTCGGGTGTAATTGTATGTGTGTGGCTGTGTCTGTTTGTGTGTCTGTGTGTGGGGGGGGTGGGTGTCTGGTGTGGGTGGTCTGTGTACGTGTCTGTGTGTGTGTGTGCGAGGGGGGGATGTTGGTGTGTGGGATGCATGTCTGTCTGTGTGTTGGGGGTGTGTGAGTCTGTGTGTGTGTTGGGGGTGTGTGAGTCTGTGTGTGTGTTGGGGGTGTGTGAGTCTGTCTGTGTGTTGGGGTGTGTGAGTGTGTGTGTGTGTTGGGGGTGTGTGAGTCTGTGTGTGTGTTGGGGGTGTGTGAGTCTGTGTGTGTGTTGGGGGTGTGTGAGTCTGTGTGTGTGTTGGGGGTGTGTGAGTCTGTGTGTGTGTTGGGGTGTGTGAGTCTGTGTGTGTGTGGGTGTGAGTCTGTGTGTGTGGGGGTGTGTGAGTCTGTGTGTGGGGGGGTGTGTGAGTCTGTGTGTGGTGTGTGTGTCTGTATGTGTGTGGGGGTGTGTGAGTCTGTGTGTGTGTGGGGGGTGTGTGAGTCTGTGTGTGTGTTGGGGTGTGTGAGTCTGTGTGTGTGTGGGTGTGTGAGTCTGTGTGTGTGTTGGGGGTGTGTGAGTCTGTGTGTGTGTTGGGGGTGTGTGAGTCTGTGTGTGTGTTGGGGGTGTGTGAGTCTGTGTGTGTGTGTGTGTGTGTGTATCGAGGGCCTGTGTCAGACCGACACACACACAGCAACATTTCCCTCCCCCCCACAGCCCAGACATCCATCGACTCCTGTAGGCCAGAGGCTGAATGGCTGCCCGGTGTGGGTGGGGGAGGGGAGGGGGGATTGTAGCTGCCGGGTGTACAGAAACCCGCCGTCCTTCAGGCGGGTCATCCGGGGGGGGGGGGGGGGGGGGGGAGAGAGAGAGAAGGCCCCGGGCGCGCTAGGCCTGAGGCCTGGTGTGTGTGTGTGTGTGTGTGAGGGGGGGGCGGGCGGCTTACCGTGCTTCATGGCGATGATGCTGCTCGCGGCCACCATGTCGGAGGCCAGGAGGACGAAGTCACGGCCCTGAATGCCTATCAGGTACTCCATTTTGCGGGCGGGCGGGCGGGAGACTGACTGACTGACTGACCGGCGACACCGAATTCGCGCCGACTCACCCCCCGGCCTTCCCGCACTCGCTCGCTCGCGTCGCGCCGCTTCTACGTCATCGCCGCGCGCGACGATCAGCTTCGAGCGCGCTCCGGCCAACGTCGGTGGGCGGGGTGAGGGGGCGGGGCGGGTTTTCACGCCCGATCGGGCGGTTTTGGGGCGGTTTTGGGCGGGTGGCCAAGATTTTTGATTTTAAAGCCAAGTTTCATTTGGTTTCAACTTGCAAAAACTTTTTTTTTTTTTTTTTTTCCTCTCTTCTCTCTCCTTTTGAAAATATGTTTTTTTTAACCTAACTAAAATTGGCCACTCTCCTACCCCCCCCATCCCCCCCACCCACCCCCACCCCCACATCCAGGCAACTTGGAATATTGGGCTATTTTGGGTTGATTGGGGTACAAACTATTTTAATTTTTGGCAATTCTGATCTCAGGGACTGGAGCTCTCTCTCTCTCAATGGGCTCCTTGTGCAGTTCAGATCAGTTATAGCTAATTTAAACAAACAAACAAACAAACAAACCAACAAAACAAAATCCTTTTGCCCATACCCTCTCTTAACATTTCGACATTCCCAAGTGCCACATTTAATATTTGTTCCCAATTGTTTTAATCCTTCCCAAGTCCATCCAGGAAGGAACGAAAAATATTTTTCGTCCATAATGTTGTTTAAGTTCAGACTCTGTTCTAATTTTTGCACTCGGTTTGATTCGACTGAGGATTCAGAGAAAGATCTAAGTGACGGAAATACTGAGTCTTTTATGTTTTTGTGCGAGAATGAATCAAATATAAGACTGGATCCTGGTATAAATTTACCAATGTATATCCTCCTGAATTACGCAGTTCATTCTCATACTGACATGGCAATGCACTCCTCTGGCGGCAGTAAACTAGCAAATGTGTTGAAGCTGGAATCTGTATTCCAGATGTTCTCTCATCAATAGTAATCTGGACATTTCAGTTATTGTGCAAATTCAGGAGGTTTCCCCTTAAAAGACGGTTCATTAATTTCCTACAACACAACAAAATTATATTTGTAAACCGCCTTTCATGTTGGGAGGACGTCCCAAGGCGCTGGAACCTTTATTATTAGGAATTTTGTTCTTACAACAAAATTAACTTTTCAATTTTCTTTTATCAAAGATAATTCAGGCAAGAAAATTGTCAACGTACAATGACAGTCACAAACTAAATTTCCAAACAATAAGAAGAAAAGAAATTAGATGAATAAAGTGAACAGGTATGTCTGGTTATCTACATTTACTACACATCATAGCTGTGAAGTGTAATTCCTTCACACTTTATTATCATAATAATTCTTACATTTGGTATAGAATCTTATTGTGTCAAAACGTCTCAAAGAGGTTCAATGGCAAGAATCTAATTGATCACCTATTTATGAGCAACCAAGGAGAGAAGCATCCTCAGGAGAGAAATTGGTTATTTAGAAAAAAAACCTGACTTCTATTTACTCCTGTAGGGCATGTTTCCAGCAACGTATGTACCATATTGTTGGAATTATTGTTCCACTCGGTTGATCAGGAAGGAAATGGCCCTTTACATTTCTGGTAGCATCCTTCCTCATGTCTGTAATTCTTGTGTGGCCGGGCAAAATGGCACAGGAAATTAATGTAAATGAAGCCTTTAAGGTTTATTTATTTACTGATGCAAATGTGCGCTTAACGTGGGGGCAAGAGTATGTTTTTATTGGTGCCAGAACTAGTGGTGTGGAAAATAGTGTAGATGAATAGATGGAAAATGAGTAAGCAGTGCATGAACTTTATCTACACGGAGAAACTTGGGAGTTTTACAAAGAGTTATGGGGCTGGTAAAGGGGCAGCGTTCTGGTCTCTTCCTAGTCTGCTTGTTGCAATTATAAGGACTGTCATGAATGTTCATGAATTGTGGACTTCAAAGCTTTCCAGTACTCAATCTACGGGAGCTTTGAAGCTTCGTCTGACATTACAGCTGGTGAGGAAATCAAAATCGTGGTCGATGGAGCTCAAAACCATGACTAGTCGTGCAATCACCATTGGAATCTTAAATGATATTAGTTCCAGGAATTCATTCAATGCAATGTTCGAATCTAATAATTTTGCGTCAGCCTGACAGGGAAATCGTATGGTTTTGAAGCTTCAAATTCTTTATAATAATAATAATGATGATGATAGTAATCCTCACACTTGATATAGAACTTTATTACGTCTTTGAGACGACTCAAAGCGCTTCACAAAATATCCTGTAAAGTGAATTGACTGCATATTTTGTGTGCGAAACGCGGCAGCCAATTGCGCACAATCCATAATAACGCTAGATCGCATTTTAAAAACTGTCCAAGTCTTCAGTACATTTCAAAGGAAATAAATAAGCAACACTATTGTGCTCAGGCCTCAGTTCAAATGAGACCAGGATTACATTCTGAGACGCTACAAATAACCACTGCAATATTCAGTGGTGCCAAAGCTATTGTTCTAATGCACTCACAGCCTTGTCACTTTGCTAAGATACTGATATGCTTCAGTGGCTTGCGTTTGAATAATGGACTATGTTCAAACGTGGGCAAAGCAATATTCGTGACATTGAGTGTATTTTTTGTCTCGCGGTTTTGCTTTGAGACAGTTCTGCCAATCGTATTGTAATATAATTTCCAATGCCCGACCCTGGTTTATTTTATTTTATATAATAGAATACCGCAGCTCATTGCCAATTGTAACCAACATGTGGAATTTTAAATTAGTGGGCGAGTTATCAGCCTCTTTGTTCCCTTTCCCTTTACCACACAACAACAAGAACAAATTACATTTACGCGGCGCCTTTCATGTCGGGAGGACGTCCCAAGGTGCTGGATAGTCAAGGATTTGGACCCGAGCAGGGGGTTGAGATCAGGGAGGGTGAGGGCAGGGAGGGTAGGGGTAGGAGGGTGGCCGAAGGTTCCAAAGGTTCCAAAGGATACACTCTTTGATTGTATTTTTAGCAATCTTACTCCGACCCACCCTATTTCCCACTGTACTCGGGCTAAGTACTCAGAGGTAAATGCAAAGGTATTGAACAAAGCTTGTTGTGGTCAACTGAGCAGTGACATGGGACATACTGGGTATCAGAGTGGAAGACTGAGGAATGAACAATAACTGTTGGTGTACGGTCAATATCCAGCCACAGAGCATGTTAAAGTGTGTCCATAAAAATTAATCCGAATGATGCTGCTCCTTAAATGGAGTGTGAATCCCTGATTGCTCTTCGCAGTCAGTCGTGATCTGTGAAAGAGTTTTGTGCGTGCAATATAGCAAAGGAAACCACGAGAAATCGATTTGTATTTGGAGGTGAAAATAGACTCTAACAGCCACAGCGCATGTGATTAGCACTAACTCTCTCCAATCGATTGATCTAAAGGCGTGAATGGAACTGAACTGGCCTGGGTGTGTTAAAGGGGGGCACACTGGCTTGCCCACCCTCTGCACTCACTGTAAGATGTTTGAAATGAGCCCCACTTGGTAAACTTCAACATTATTGAAATTTCGCCCACAAAATACACAGTCAATCTACTTTACAGTAGATCTTGCGAAGTGCTTTGAGACGTCTCAACGACTTGATTAGGCTCCATATTAAATGCAAGGACTATTATTGTAATAATAACGGGCACAGTCAGGGATTAATTCGATCGGATTGAAATCCTGCCCTTAAAAATTCTGCAAATGTCTTTCTCTGTACTTCACTCAACTGGTCATTTTTCTGTGGTAAATGGAAAAAAAAGATCTCACACCATTGCCAACTCATACCAATGTGTCAATATTCAATTACCGTTCAGAAACGTACATCCAGAGATTTATCGGAAACGTTTCCAATAATAAAGAAAAAATCCACTTGAATTACTTACGCTCAGTAGGAGTATAATCTTTTTAATTGAGAAAACGTTACAGTTAATTACAAATGACACTATTGCCTTGTCGGGTTTCATTTGCTCAATTCATTGTACTAAAAGCTGTGAGTGGATCTGCAGGACATCTGGGTTATGACAACCAAAACACATAGCTTGCTGCTTTAAAGATTTATGGGTCTTTATTTTACCAAATGTGTTCCCTTTTACAAGGCAAGACACCAGACTATCACACTGATCATCTCTTCACACTGCAGCTAACTGGCTAACAGTCTGTGAAGACAGTAAGGGGGCAGTTGCTGGGATTACGCCATCAAAAGTTGAGGTTAGTGGCGATTGCTTTCACCCACTTTTCTATCCTGTGGTGAATAAAACCCAGATATAGTAAACACACATGACAGGTCCCTTTAAGGCATATTTACATCGTGGGCACTCTCTCTCGGGTTTGATTCCTGGGCAGGACGAAACATTGGGCAAGTTTCCTTCCTCCACATGCCTCTGTTTACTTAGAAGTAGATAGGAAGCTGGTTGTTAGTCGATTGGCAAATCACTTTTCCGAGTGTAATAATCCCTTCAAAAAAAAATTATAGTAATTTAGTCACTCAATCCTGTTTATGAGGACGCTGCTGTGTGCAATTGGCTGTCGAGTTTCGCCCACAAAACACACAGTCAATCCACTTTACAGTACATTCTGTGAAGTGCTTTGAGACGTGTCAGAATATACGGTAAAGTGGACTGACTGTGTGTTTTGTGGGCGAAACGTGCCAAGAGTTCTTTCCTGTCGCTTGCTGATGATCAGCGCAGAAGATTGAATGTGAGATGGAGCACAGACCGTGCACACGCAGGAACATAACTGTAGAAATGCGCAGCTGAGCGGCTGGGAGCTGTCAGTCAGTGCTCGGGAGACATGTCACGTAATCCCCGGCGACAATGCGGCGAGGACAGCCACGTCCATGATGTCTCAACTCTTAACAGATCCCATCTGACACTCCTCACATCCAGTCTCTGCGCGCTGCGCGCTCTCAGCTGTCACTGGCAATAAATTATAAAGGGGGTGGGTTGGGGGGGGGTGGGGGGGGGGGGGAGAAGAAAAAAATCACGGCAGCTACCCAGAACTTGCTGCGGGAGAAACGCTGGAGAAACTCCTTCTGTTCTTTTTCCCCGCAGGTCAGTTCTGATCCAGTCGGAGAA